TTTATCGTTATCTAGTGGAATTGAAAAGCAATCAAGGGCTTAAATAAATGCTTAAGCCCTACTTAACATAACTGCGTTTAAATTTTTTTCATATCTCCTATAGTTTTTCAGATATACAAGTTTGAATTTCAAGTTTACCTCTGCACGAAATAAGCTGTGAGCCACTGTATATGTATGTTGGAAAGTTGGTTGCTAAGTACAAATTTGGAATGCTTGTTCCCTTGGCAACAGAATTATTCGGCATGCACAGGTATTGGTAGCCCTGTAGCTGTCGCAGGCGCGCAGGCGCAATGACAGTTGAGTCGGTAACAGGACAAGGACAGAAGACTGTCTGTTACTGAGTGAGGTCTGTTCGTCTGTCGCAACAATAGGAGAGAGTAAGAGAGACAGCTTGAGATTGTCTAGGATTGACATCTGAGTGAAAAGTAAGAAAAGGTGAAAGGGCCACAGGAAAAGTGGCGTGATGACAGATACGATTTGACTGCGCATGCGAACAGAATTCGCTGGCTCGAATTTAAAAACGGTGGAATTAAAAAACGGTTATCTCCGACATGTACAGTATGTCAACAAAGTGTTTTGACAATGAAAAGTGTTTTGATTTTTTATGTTTGCATGCCAAAAAAAGGAAGTAATCAGCGTTTTTAAATATTTTAAAAATTGTATTTCGATTCTGTGGGTAAGTAAGTACTAATTTATGAAAAAAAATAACAACATTTCATTTGGTAACTGTCTTAAAAAAAATAAAAGCAAATAATATTCAGATTTCATACTGTCAAGAAAGTGTTTTGACATCAGCGGCAAAACAGTTTTAGGACAGCTCCCATTGGAATTGAGCTTTGGTTTTTTTTTTCTCCTCTTAGCCTTTGCGTTCCTAATCATTTGTCAATCAATTTCGGCGTGACAAGTTCTATCAAGATTAAAAAAAAAATGCCTGGAAAGAGAACTTCGCACGATGTTGCACAACTGGTTTATTATAACCACCAGATCGGGAAAAAACGTCCAGGAACTGTCTGAAATGTTCTCCGCATTACGGCAGACAATATACAGCATCCTAAATAGACCAAACAAGGAGAATAGACTGGGTCCCAAGCCTGGAACAGGACGGCCTAGCAAAATTCCAGAGAGAGATGAGCGAAAATTGCTAAGGGAACTGGCCAAAATACCTCATGCTTCGCTCAGATCCATAGCAAGCGATCTGAAGGACACAAGTAATCTAAATGTTTCTCACGAAACCGTCCGAAAGCTGCTAAAACGGACCGAGTACACATCCCAAAAATTATTGCTCTCGAAAGTAAACATAAGAAAGCGACTTTGGTTTGCCCAAAAACACCAGGAGAAGCCAGTGGGCTTCTGGAGTAATGTTATATATTGTAGTACAACATCATCTTTGTTTCGTCGCAAAAAATAAGAAGTCCATAACATCAAAAGATAGAGTCCGGCAAAAGTTTCTAAGTGTCGAAATTTTCCATTCTGCGGCGATGCCTCACATGTAATCATATACGATTTTAAAACTTTTGAACGCGTTTTTCTCAAAACCACTTTTTTTGAGTTGGCCGAAAACATAACTCGAACAAATCTTAACCGATCGATCTGAAATTTTGACAGTATATCCAAAATACTTATGGCTATCGACGTACGTAGGATTTTTTTTTTTGCTTACTTTTTTTTATCAACAATTTTGTGACGTTTTTTTTCATGAAAATTGAACATTTTATTTAATCACTCACCATTTTGCAAAAAATCAAAATATCGAAAAAATCCTACGTACGTCGATAGCGGTTGAGATATAAAAACTAACAAAATTTGATTTTTTGTTCTAGATCAAAAACTAAGGACGTTAGGTTTTCGGCCATGGACCCCTTTCAAAAAAATAGGGCCTACGAAGACATGCTGCACAGCCGCCATTTTGTTTTCGATTTATTAACAAAAAAATTTATTTTGTAGTTCACATCTAACATTATCAAACCTATTTTAAAATTTTTCGATTGGCTTTTTCATTTGGCCAAAAAAAATTCTAGGAAATGGGCTTTTTTTTTGCCAGTTACTTAGATGTCCCCCCTTAATTAAAATATATTTTCCCTTGATTAATTATAATTTTTTTCTGTAGATGCAATTTCCCAAGTGACTAAAACTGAGCCTCCAGAGAAGATACTGCGCAATAAATTTGGTCTTCATGAATAAAAAGCGGAACACCAAGAATCAAAAAGACCTTAAGGCCTTTTAATATATGGATGTTTAATCTTAATTTTTTATATTCGTGTTTTAGTTTTGGTATAGAATTAGTAAGAATAAATAATATTAATAAAAATTTAAGAGTTTTATTTTTATACCCTTGCAGGGTATTATAATTTCAGTCAGAAGTTTGCAACGCAGTAAAGGAGACGTTTCAGACCCTATAAAGTATATATATTCTCGATCAGCATCAATAGCCGAGTCGATCTAGCCATGTCCGTCTGTCCGTTTCTACGCAAACTAGTCCCTCAGTTTTAAAGCAATCTTTGAAACTTTCTATATACTCTCACTGCTATATATGTCGGAACGGGCCGGATCGGACGACCATATCTTATAGCTGCCATACAAATGTTCGATACATTTTTAGAACAAAATTATAACTTGGCTGTTTTTCAATATTATTCCATCATAGCCATTTTATATTATTCCAAAATTTTCGTAAAAATTTTATGAAAATCGGACGACTATCTTATAGCTGCCATAGGAACGATCGGGAAATTAATCGAAAAAATTATAACTTCGTTGTTTTTCAACGTATTTTAATCTACTTTGACACATGAGCTTCTGGTATTATTTCAAAATTTTGGTATAAATTTTATGAAAATCGGAAGACTATCTTATAGCTGCCATAGGAACGATAGAGAAAGTAATAGAAAAAATTATAGCTTCGTTATTTTTATACCCTTGCAGGGTATTATAATTTCAGTCAGAAGTTTGCAACGCAGTGAAGGAGACGTTTCCGACCCTATAAAGTATATATATTCTTGATCAGCATCAACAGCCGAGTCGATCTAGCCATGTCCGTCTGTCCGTCTGTCCGTTTCTACGCAAACTAGTCCCTCAGTTTTAAAGCTATCTCAATGAAACTTTGCATATAGTCTTCTATATGCTCTCACTGCTATATATGTCGGAACGGGCCGGATCGGACGACTATATCATATAGCTGCCATACAAATGTTCGATATATTTTTAGAAAAAAAATTATAACTTTGCTGTTTTTCAACATTTTTGCACCATTTTTTAGATATGGCCATTTTATATTATTTCTGAATTTTGGTAAAAATTTTATGAAAATCAGACGACTATATCATATAGCTGCCATAGGAACGATCGGGAAATTAATAGAAAAAAATTATATATTCGTTGTTTTTCAACGTATTTTCATCTACTCCGGGATATAAGCTTATTTTATTATTCTAGAATTTTGGTATAAATTTGAAAAACATCGGACAACTATATCATATAGCTGCCATATAAACCGATCGGTAGATGTATACAAAATGTAAAGCTGGGAATGCAAAACTGTAACTGTCAAACTGTAAACATAATCAGGCCTGCTCCGGTAATCGAAAACGGCAAGAATTTTTCGTTTTCGTTTTTGAAAACGAGAAATTGGTGCTCCGGTAATCGAAATCGAAAGATTTTTTCGATTTGAAAAACGGGCACCTTTTTCTGGCCGGAATGAAAAGTAAATGGCTTTTTCTATATGAAATCAGACCTTATTTACAAAAGGAAAAAAACAGTTTACTCAGTGGTCTATTGATGTTTATTCCACAACACCATAAGATCATTCTGGCAGGTAGTTATTTTATAAAAAATTTATTTCTGACCCCACCTCAGATTTGACAGCAAAATTTTTGCCGTGTTCACCCAGTTTTCTCGTTTTGGCGATAGGTCGATAAGTTCACCGCAAAAAGTTATCGCTAAGGTTGCCATACTGTTGGTGGAACGAAACAGCCAGTTAAAAATACTTATAAAATATAAATGAATACATTAATAACTTTAAAGGACCGCCAAAATGGTTGTTTATAATTAATGCTATTTAATGTGATTACTTAAATGGTCCAAATTAACCAAATAATTATTTGAGACCACCGGAATTAAAGCTGTGAAAAGTGTGGCAGCATCTTAGGTGCCTGGATTTGCTTAATTCTACCATTTTTTGCCTTTTTCTGGCTTAGATAAAGGGCAATTGTAAATATAATAGGCAGTACTTTACGTTGTTTGCTTATTACCAACAACACAAGTTAGCTGCTTGAGCAGTGAGAAACGATGAGAAAACGAAACATCCGATAGCAGAAATTTGCCGAAAACCGGAGCAGCTAAAAACGAAAACGGTTCGTTTTCGCCCAAAACGAAATCGAAAAAATTTTACGATTACCGGAGCAGGCCTGTATAAGTATAGGTAAAATGTAATGAAATAATATCTGCAAGGGTATACAAAATTTGGCTGGCCAAAGTTAGCTTTCTATCTTGTTCAACGTATTTTCATCTACTCTGAGATATGAGCTTTACTTATTATTATAGAATTTTGGTATAAATTTTATGAAAATCGGACAAAAATCATTCATCGATGAATCATCAAAAATTCATCAACATTTCATCAGCCTTTCATCAACAATTCATCGATGAAATGATGATGAATTGTTGATGAAAACCTAGGACATGCCCATGTTAAATTCATCAACAGTTTATATGGCCATTCATCAATGAATCATCAACAACACCCCTTCGGCTATTGATGAAACATTGATGAATGGTACTGCAGGGTAATGCCATGCTGATTTTTACTGCATACATATGTATGTACGTACTTGCATATGCACATGTGTATACGTTCCATAAAGCGATAAATCTACGGTATATATGGTACATACATATGTATGAAATTTTAAGCAAATAAAAACGGATCCCATTAACAAATTAAGAAAAAAGGATAACTAACAAATTTTCACAATGCGAAACAAAAACACATTTAATACACTTACGTCTGTTAAAAAAACTGGTATTGCGTAAACTTGTGTAGGGTAACATATGGGTGGGGTGAACCAACCAAATCTTGTCATTTTTTAAAATTGACAAACTCAACGTTTGAAATAATAATCGAGCCATAGTAGTACCGTAGTTGTTTTTTCATTAATATTTACATATATATGTGAATTTATTAAACTTATTAAGCAATATAAACGAGGTCTATCGTCATAAAATTTTAGATTTTAGGATACCAAAAATATTAGAGATGGAAAAAAATCGATTCAAAATCTTTAATGTCATCGATTTGGTTTTGATGTATCGATGTATTGTTGACACTTTACAAAAACTCACAATTAACTGAAACATATATATACATATATATATTTAAATCAATTTGATTTATAGGGTCTTCCCACACGCTGTCAAAGCGCATTCACAGTCCGTTGAACAAACAGTCCATAATAGGGTCTTCCCACACACCGTCAAAGCGCATCCACCGTCCGTTGAACAAACGGTCCATAAGGTTTTGCCGTTCAGAATTTTTTTCAAATGGACCGTCATCAATGCGCTTCTAAATCTAACGTCCGTTTGTTTAGCGATAGTTAGGCGATAGTTTTTCGGTGCAACTCTGATTTCTTCTTCTTAAAGCCTAGTACTCTGACGAGAAAAAACCGCTGTATAAATTTAGACAGCGGCCAAACTCCATATAAAAAAAACGGTGTCGAAAAAAAAAGAAGAAGAACTTTTAGACACGTCGTTTTTTTCGGTACTCTGACGACGAAAATGAAGCCTGCGAAAATTGAATGGCGTTGCCAGATCAAGATAGTAAACAGCTGATATCGCGCTGTCTAAATAATTCATTTGATTTATTTAGACACCCCTAATGGAGGGAAAGTTGAAGGAAAAAGGTGGCATTGATAGGGGCTGTCAAGGGGAAGCCCGTAATATGGAATTTAACCCACAAAGGACATTTTAATGCCATATCTATTAATATTTTTAATATTTTTTTTTGAATATTTGTTTACAAACAGCTGTCCAGTGTGACCAAGGAAAATCATTAAACGCCATAAAAAGTACATTTTCATGGAATTTCAGGAGTTTCCTTAATTTTTTTTGGTCACACTAGCTCGGTAGCGAAATAAACAGCGATTCCGCTGTCTAATTTAGACAGCGGGTTTTTCTCATCAGAGTACTAGGCTTAACAGTGAAAATTTGGCCAACACTACCAAAATGTAAACAAACTTGGCGAGGAACAAATGAAATATTGAATTTAAAATGTGGCACCAAAGCTACAAGCATGCCCAAAATAGTTGTTGGCGTTTTTTATGTATATTCTTGCCCCAAAGTGTCCCCTATTGCTACTATTTAAGGGGGGATATACATGTAAACCAAAATTTTTTTGGGAAAATTTTTTTTTTGTTTAAAAAATAGTTTATTACTTAAAGAATATACTGTGTAAGTTTCATCATCAAATTCCAACTTTAAGTGCATCAAATCAAGTATGAACGCAAGGTATACAAGTGTAAACGTGGGCGCATCAAAAACTTTAAACGTCTTTTTCTCAGCTTTAAATTCTTGCATTTCTACCTATGCTATGGACACGATTCACAAAAAACTTCGTAACATATCGGAGTGATTAAAATTTTATTATGATCAGCATGAAATTATCTTCTATTTGAACCTAAATGGTTGTTATAAAACTGAGTATTACTATTTTTTAAGAGCGTGGGAAGTGAAAACTGATCACCTGAAAATGGCATTTTTTCCTTCAAATCAAAATTTAATTTTTTTGTCTTGATTTCTTTTTGGTTTTTTAGGTTCAAATAGAATATACAGGTGTAATGAATACAAAAAAATTTAGTTTACGGATTTTGGACAGGAATTACGAGCTCTATCGTGTCCATAGCACGGCAACTCAAAGCTCGAGGCGCTACGGCATATGTTCCATAAATCCGCCATTTTGTAAAATATTGTTTATAACTAATTTTTTTATCATCTCTGATTTTACTTTTAACTATATCCAAAGTTTCACGACGATTGCTTGACTATTTCTTATAAAAAAAAATTCACGAAAAATGGCCAAATTTTGACCGCTTATACTGTCTTCCCACACAGCGCATTTGTGAGGAACGTTTGGGATTTTTCACAAATGTGAAACTCGTGTTCCCACACAACATTAAAGAGCATTTAGCATCCGAACAGCTGATCGATCAGCTGTGGCTCATGAAAACGTAAACAAAGGCTGTCGAATTGGCAGTTGCAAATTTGAAATGGAGCATTTACCAACTATTTTGGCTGTTGTACAACAGCAAAATGCACAGATTGCGTCAGAATTTATTCGCACTAAATTTAATACGGTCTTCCCACACAGCGCATTTGTGAGGAACGTTTGGGATTTTTCACAAATGTGAAACTCGTGTTCCCACACAGCATTAAAGCGCATTTAGCATCCGAGCAGCTGATCGATCAGCTGTGAGCTCATGAAAACTTAAACAAAGGCTGTCGAATTGGCAGTTGCAAATTTGAAATGGAGCATTTACCAACTATTTTGGCTGTTGTACAACAGCAAAAGGCACAGATTGCGTCAGAATTTATCCGCAATAAATTTAAATGAATTAAATGACAAGGAATTTTAGTTTTTCTAATGATTTTTCTCTAACAAAGAGCAAATTCCCCGAAGAGTGTCTATAGGTGGTATAGGCATCCAAAATCTTTAAAATAAGGTAGAGATAGGCGGTTTATATTAAATAGTAACAATTGGGGACATATTGGGGCAAGAATATACAGAAAAAACGCCAACAACTATTTGGGCATGCTTGTAGCTTTGGCGCCACGTTTTAAATTCCATATCTCATTTGTTCCTCGCCAAGTTTGTTTACATTTTCGTGGTGAATGGTCAAATTTTCAGAGTTGCACCGAAGAACTATCGCCTAACTATCGCCAAACAAACCGTGGTTAGTTCAGCATTAAAATCTAATGCTGAACTAACGCCGGGCCATTTGGGAAAATTCGGAACGGCAAAACCTTATGGAGCATTTGTTCAACGGATGCTAAATGCGCTTTAACGCTGTGTGGGAAGACCCTATAAATGAATTAAATGACAAGGAATTTTAGTTTTTCTAATGATTTTTCTCTAACAAAGAGCAAATTCCCCGAAGAGTGTCTATAGGTGGTATAGGCATCCAAAATCTTTAAAATTAGGTAGGGGTAGGCGGTTTATATTAAATAGTAACAATTGGGGACATATTGGGGCAAGAATATACAGAAAAAACACCAACAACTATTTTGGTCATGCTTGTAGCTTTGGCGCCACGTTTTAAATTTCATATCTCATTTGTTCCTCACCAATTTGTTTACATTTTCGTGGTGAATGGTCAAATTAAGAAGAAGAATCAGAGTTGCACCGAAGAACTATCGCCTAACTATCGCCAAACAAACCGTGGTTAGATTTTAATGCTGAACTAACGCCGGGCCATTTGGGAAAATTCGGAACGGCAAAACCTTATGGAGCATTTGTTCAACGGATGCTAAATGCGCTTTAATGCTGTGTGGGAAGACCCTATTACATGTATATCCCCCCTTAATATGAAAGGGGTACATCTACTTTATTTTATAGATTCGGGAAGTCTATACCACCTATACACACTCATCGGGGGAATTTGCTCTTTGTTAGAGAAAAATCATTACAGAAACTCAAATTCCTCGTCATCTAAATAATTTTAAGTTAGTGCGGATAAAATCTGACGCAATCTGTGCTTTTGCTGATGTACAGCAGCCAAAATAGTTGGTAAATGCTCCATTCCAATTTTGCAAAAGCCAATTCGACAGCCTTTGTTTACGTTTTCTTGTGCCACAGCTGATCGATCAGCTGTTCGGATGCAGATACACTTAAACGCAGTTCCGTGGGAACACGAGTTTCGCATCTACGAAAAATCCCAACCGTTTCTCACAGATGCGCTGTGTGGGAAGACCGTATAACTGCCTATAAGGTTTTGCCGTTCCGAATTTTCTCAAATGGACCGCGGTTAGAACGCATTTAAATCTAACCACGGTTTGTTTCGCGATAGTTAGGCGATAGTTTTTCGGTGCAACTCCAATTCTTCTTCTTAATTTGACCATTCACCACGAAAATGTAAACTAACTTGGGGAGGAACAAATTTATTTAACAAGTTTTGATTTCATTAAGTCAATATATAATAATTCTTCATCCAAAGTGAACAGACGTGTTTTTTTCTTCGCTCCCGATTTGTGTAGAATTTTGCCTAAAAACCACCGGGGTTTATTAAGAATTCATATTTGGTGTTTTTTAATAGCTCCCGTTCACTTCTCGTGTGCATGCAACTTTTCTATTTGTGTTGTTTAATTCATTTTAAATTACATTTCAGTTTGGGCTGCTGCGGTTGCTTTGCATTCTTTTTGCATTCCCTTTTGTGCCTATTGCGTTTCTTGTTGTTTGCGTCGTCGAGACAGCTATAAACGGTTCTTAGTTCAGTGCTTAACTCTCGCTCTCCCAATTGTGTGCTCTCCTGCTCTTCCAGTGCCGCTGCTCTTAAACCCTTACGCCCTCTCTTAATTAAAAAAGTACAGGGGTAAGTCACTAAGATGTCTGCTAATTTGGTCTGCTTCGCTAAATCCTGTCACCTGTTGGCTGTGTGACCCCTGGGGGGTCCCAACTGTTGTCCTCTCAGAGCCCTAGTCCAAGTCCCTGCCAGGGTGTCAGGCCCGGACTACAGGCCGAAAGTGGTATGGTGGGTCAGTCTGCCTTGCCAAAACCCCTTATGGCAATTCCACCAACGAAACAGTTATTTGTTTCGCGGCTTTCCCCTGATCAGACATCGGAAGATGTCATAGATTTTATCCAAAGCATAGTAAAAGTCGATAGAGAAAAAATTAAGGTGGACTAATTTAAATTTTCTTATCCTAGGAACATTTCTTCTTTCAAGATAAATGTTCCTGACAGGCCTGTAGGAATTACTCTTCCTAGGCCAGATTTGCCCAATGCGCCTTCTACGTCTGTCAATTCCGTCCCAAAAAACTAACCAACTCCCTTGGTATTTCCTATCAGAATGCAAGGGGCTTACGCAGTAACCTTCCTAAATTGTATTCTGACAGTGTCACATTTGCTTCACAAGTTATTGTGTTCACAGAAACCTGGTTAAAGCCGGAGATTCTGAGCTCCGAAGTTTTTCCAGCTGCGTTCACAGTATACCGGCTAGATCGGCCTATCAGACGTGGGGGAGGTGTCTCTATAGCGGTCGACTCCACTCTCACGTCCGAAT